ACATAATATAAAATCATGAATTTAATAATGTATTAGCTAAATATTAATGTTAATAATTATAAATTTGTATCAATTTGTAGATAATGTCAGCATTCTTCAATTACCTCGGACCCTTTTTGTAAAGATGAAAATTTGTCCACAGAGTTGACGATCTATATTATATGATCTGTAGTGAGAAAATTTCTTGCTATTACATGATAAATAATAACGAATTTGATCACTTGCATTACACTAGATTAAAATACTAAAATCTGCTAAATCTATGTAAAATGTTAGTTAAATGTAAAAATATATAAATATATTTTAAACGATTAAATACCTGATAATATATTATCATGTTAATTATGTAACAAAATATACATGTATTACTATTGCGAACTATTGCAAAACTATTGTTAACTATTGCGAAAATTGCAAAATGGTAAAGGACTTTTCAACTCAGTTTAATCCGCTCTATTTACACAAAAGCGTTTGACAAAAACTTACGAAACATCTTGTATAATCAACTTTGATAATGAAATAATACATGTATATTTTGTTACATAATTAATATGATAATATATTATTAGGTTTAATCCTTTAAAATATATTTATATAAAATATATAATTTATATAAAATATATTTTTACACAGGACATCCTCACAGCAGAGGGACTTTCCAGAATCCCTAGAAAAACAGAATCTGGCCATCGGCCCATGTTTTCGATTGGTTCATATTAGCTTGCCCTCACTATAGCAGCACGAATCACAATGTAAGGAAATAGCATACTTATTAAAAAACTTGTAGATATGAAATAACGCAAAACATTCTTTATTGATATATAATATTTCATATTATAGAGGGTGCTTTCCAGCAAGGACATAATCAGACACTGTGTAACACAGTGAATCGTTTCATCCTTGTTTAATACAAGCAAACAATAAAAATGTAATGTGTTACACTCTATCTGATCGTGTCCTTGCTGGAAAGTACCCATAATTATAAAGAAATGTTATAATTATAAAGAAATAATATAGTGGTTATGAAGAAATATACAATGTGTTTAAAAAATATAAAAATATAAAATTTCAAGTGAAAACATAGTTTTAAACAATAATACGGTCAGTGTCAAATATGTGTTCCGAGCGCACCTTCGCAAAGGAAAGACGCCGATAAGAGATTATGAAATTATCTTAAATAATAACAAATAATACAATAATTACATAATAATAATAAATTAAAAAATAATAAATAAAATTGGTAATAAAAACGAAATGTGAAATCAAAACAAAAAAGCACAGCAGGCTTAACAAAAATTAAGGATGACGCAACAAGCCAGACAATATTAAGACAAATATGTTCGTTCCGGTTTACTCTCGTCACAGAATTAATTCCTAAGTACGAAAGTGTATAAAAGTGTAAACACTAAGAACATATTTTTATCTGACATTTTGGTATGGCCAGACTCTGTTTTTCTAAGGATTCTAGGATTTTCTAGTCTCAAGCGCTATGACTGACTTGTGTCCAATTGTGTGCAAAGTAACGATAAAAGTAACTGTAAAATTCGTAACCGTTACCAAAAAAATGTAACTTTATTACTGTTACAGTTACCAAAGAAAAAAGTAACTTGTAACTCTGTTTGTAACTTCGTTACAAGAATAACGAGTTACTTTCATTTCCTGGTTATTATATTGTACTTCACTACATTTAGATACTTTTATATAAAACAACTTTTTTAATATGCACTAATCCAGTACATGTAGTGTACAAGTGATTGAATTCACCATAAGTTAGCATCAGTTAGCATCGAATAGAATGCAATATCGAATATTATCGCATAGTTGAGATCTCTGCATATACCAAATGATGGCGCCGAGTGTACGATTGAGTGTACTGTTATGAAACTGTATTGAATAGAATCGTTTAAGAATCACGTTATAATATCTTATACTATATTCCACCATAAGTCACCATCTCTTTTTATCTCATAAACTAAACATAAAAATATAATATATAATAGATATATCAAACAAATTATAAATGATTTGAATTGTAAACTGTATGTTGAGAGCACAAGTATGATTACTTGAAAAAATTATCTATGTATCAGAAAATAGAAAGGAACATATATAGTTTAATACCTATCTATTATATCTATTTTATCTTTTATCTAACTTAACATTTTTCCGTCCTGGTGTGGCCAACTTGTGATTCTCGCGTTAATGATTGACATATATGGTACAAACGTCATTTGATGATATGGATTAATGTGAAGAGTCGGAAGGTGGCCACCGCATCGATCTGTACAAGGACGTATTATATATTATGATCTATATAAAGATGTTATATATTCCTGACAAAAAAACGTTACCACTCTTATTATATCGAATATTTACATTATTATAAAAAAGTTGTGCATGCCTTGCTCCAATCTATAACATATATTATATAATCATTTTTACAGATGATGACGTATGTATGTACACTGTTGTGCTCAATTTATAAATCATCTAAACCTATAAGTTGACCATTTGTTACATATGTTTATCACTTTTAATTTGCAAAAGATAAAAAAAAGAGTAGCCATTTATGGTACACACTGTATGTACAATCTGTAATGAGAGAGAGAGAGAGAGAGAGAGAGATATGTTGTTTTAAATATTTTACAGTAAAGCTTTCATTGCATTCCTTTTTTCTCGGTAATTCAAGTTACGTGCATGCGCGCGCATTTTGGCGGCGTTACGATGACGGAACCAAACCACGTTGTTATCTCACAATACTTACTGATGTCCCATCGATGTAATATCTGTTTGCCTACTTTTGACACAACATTTAACATTTAACCATAAAGTCTTTATTTTCATGCGGGCAACATTAATCGCGGCTGATCGTTACTCGAGTCCACCTCGCGAACCATCGCGAATTGAATCTGTTGAAATTGAAGATATGCGATAGCTAAGTCACATTTTCAAGTTTATTCGTTGAATTGAATTTGTGATTTGATAAATTTAAGTGTAGGTATTTCGTTTATTCATCCAAATGACATGCTCTGATCATGAGTCGTTTCAATCGTGGTGATAACTTGCGCGTATGAAGTACGTGTCATGTTCGTGCTAAGGAGAAGGCCGATGTATAACATCGCGGGATGTTTCATCCTTACGACTTGGAAGCTAGTTTTCTTTCAAGACTTTGGCGCCAGAGACCATATATGGTGGACAAGGTCGAGATATCTTGGGTCATTGGGTCTTTAGGACGCACGAACGCTGTGTGTAACAGAGTTAATTATTTTATTCAAAGAGAGAGAGAGAGAGAGAGAGAGAGAGAGAAGGCCTAATCGTACACCGAAATGTCGGACGAAACTGTTGTGATTATACGCGTATAGATATACATCGTCGTGCTACGTCATACTGAGTAGACCCGATGAAATGATAATCATAGTATATCACGTCGATCGCGTCACGAAACCGTTTTTAAATGACTCAAACGCAATCGGGCGTTTCTAACAGCGTTCCTCGATCATCAGGCACGCGGTCATCTCGTGGATGAATCATCGGAAGCGCGCGAGTGTCGAACGCATGGGAAATGTAACGATTCGACGGCGATTTATCAGCGATTCGAATAGTATCCGTTTCTTTGTAAATCGTATACGTCATAACCGGTCACGTATTCGTGAGGAAATCATGAGACAGCTCCGAGAAGAGAAGCGTATCGATTTTGAAAGCGAGTCTCTCTCTCTCTCTCTCTCTCTCTCTCTCTCTCCCATCATAGCCAGACGGACGGCGCGGTCGCGGAGTCTCGCACCTTGTGTCCGTCTGTCCGTAATTAAATATATAAACCATACACCCCGCGTTACATCGATAGACCGTATACAAGACCATAGGGCTTGAATTGCATATGACTAGGCATTGAATTGCATATACGTGGCAAAATTAAAGTGCAACGCACTCGTATTCCTGCCCTTGAATTTTATACCTACTCTACACTAGTCTACGCGTATATCTACCTTACCGCTGCTCTGTACACTTTACGTATTCTCTGAATGCTTCAATTTTCTTATACATACAATACAATATACACATCGATTTACGTTTGTATCATACTAGTAACTGCTCTCTGCAAAGAGAGGGAGAGAGAATATGTAGAAATTTACACAATTACACGTAAAGAATGTAAAGGAAATTCAAATTCTTCTGACGGAGTTACATCCAACGGTGATTAATTCTTTGGAATATTCCAGGATTATTCAATACAATGTTTGATTAAATCGTCAATTTCTTTGAAAAGTCGTTAAGGTGGGATGCGCCATTCCTTGTAAACTCTCTCAACGTGGACGTTTAATATAAATCGAGTATTGGAGAGAGAGAGAGAGAGAGAGAGAGAGAGAGAGAGAGAGAGAGAGAATAATTTAAAGGGCCATCCCATCGACGACGAATGTCACGTATGTTATATACAAACGTACGTAGAAACAACTGAAAATAGGCTTTCGCTGCGACGGTTAATTTTCAAGCGAGTCTTCACGTTAGAACATATACTTCCAGGAGAGACACGCGCTCTCCGTATCGTACGATTTGAAACGGCATTTGGAGAATCTAGCCGCTAGCCGGCCGACGGACCAATCGGCACGTTGCTTTCGTTTTATGCCCATATATGGCAAGAGCTGTGAATCCGCACGGTGGGAGAAGTTGGATGGACGAGTCTATTGCACGACGGAGGGTATCTCGGTAGATCGGTACGTACGTACATATACGTACTACGTATACAATACTGAGACTGGTGGCGATCGAACGACAACGGCGTGCCGTTTCTTTCGATCGTCGTGATCGAGATGCGACGGTTTATCGCGTAATCGCGCGAGCCTTACGCTAAAAATGGATGCGAAAGGGCAAGATTAGATTTAAAGAGTCGGTAAAATTGCATACCGACCACACCTCTGGACGAGTCCACGCAACGTGACGTGCGCGCGACGCGACGCGATGCGGTGCGGTGGCGCGGCGAGGCGCAGGGCGGCGCGCGCGGCGCGATACCGGCTTACGGCTCACGGCTCACGGTTGTTCGCTCGGACGATCCTGCTCACAGCGTTCGCGGTGCTGCACGGTGTTCGTTCTGTTCCTGCTGACCGATTAACACCCTCGTCCCTATTCCAATTTCTCGCGACAGCGTTTAACGGCGTATAACGGCGTACTAAGGACAGAAAGAGGTAAGTCAGAGAGAGAGAGAGAGAGAGAGAGAGAGAGAGAGCGAGACGTCGCTCGCGCTGTATTTTCTTTCAACGTTAATCTCGTGGATGGAGTTGTGTCGGTTCTTCTCGATTCAATCTCGAATCTCGGTAGTAGTAGGCGAGAAATCTATTCCTCCTTGTTTCGCGGAGCGAAACCGTTCACTTTCGTGAACCGCTTTCTTGCCTACGACAAAGCGACGAGTTCCACGTTGCCACGTTGCGACTCGAGACAGGTTGTCGAGTAGTCGTAGAACGCCACAGGACACGCAGGTGGTTGTGGGGCGACGCGACGCGACGCGACGCCGATGTTCTATTAATAGCAACTCGTAGCGCGTTACTAACCTACGACCACCTACGAAGGATTCGCGCTCGCTAGCTTCATGGCAACGCGATGCACGCAATAGCATAGATTATACGTCACTGACGAGGATTGAGGAATAAAACGTATGAAATCGTTGAAAAATTCATGTTTAGACGTATCCCGAATCGCGCGAACAACTAAATAATTTATTTCGCCGCGAATCCGCCAAAGCGATATTGAAAAATCATGTAATCGACAGACGCTCGGCCAATCTATTCGGTCGAAGAGTTTGATTTGACAGTCAATTTAATAGACGGAGATGCGGCTTTCACACACCGGCTTAACGCTCATCGTCAGGTCGTCGCGTCGCGTTGCGTTGCGATAGCGGAGGGTGGGGGGGGAGGGAGGGAGAAGTACGTGGAAAGAGTGGGAGGGAGGCTGCGGAAACCCCTCTGTGTCAGAGTACTTCCATATATGGTAAAGAAAGCCAGGATTGGTCGAGGGTGTCCCACCCTTGTGCTCGCCGAGTGTCGGTCCGCTGCCGAGTGGGAACAACGCATCTGTTGGTATTCGTATTCGTATAATACACCGTGAGCCCCGATCTTCGGCTACACTCTGTGTTCGGTGCTGGATCGGTGCGGCAGTGTCGCCACTTAAAACTTGTACATAACTTGAATTTTTTACACGAAACGTAAGTCTATGCAAAGTGCGAAGCGATCACGATTATTCAGAATTCATTAATCATTATTCATTATTCATTATTTGTAATTCGTAATTCGTAATTCGTAGGGAGGATTATAGAATTCGAGTGCGTGGCGAATTCTAATATGCCGGATATACATATCTATTATATATGTATATAGTATTTCGAACGGTATCACACATGTATGTTATTCATATCAAGTGCCAACGACAAGATGGTGAATGTGCATTTCACTGGGTGGTGCGCGCAAGCGCGTCGAAAGTGATTCAATTGTGAAGATGTTATATATTCGCGAATGTGAACGTATCTGACTAAACGTAATTGCGCGTATAACGATTAGCTTACTACCTATATCTTGAAAAGCCCTTCGTCCTCTTCTTACGCCTGATGCAGCGCGATAATTTGCGCGGTGTCAGTTACACGCTATTCGCGATAAAATGTTATTTGTTTAAAAAATTATATTTCATTTGAGACACAGACATTGTTCGTTCTCATCGTTCATTATCGGTTGTGACAGTGTTCGAAAGGACAGCGGTGAAGTGACACCGGGTGGATAGGGCGGGGTGGGGCGGGGCAGGGCGGGGCGGAGCGGAGCGGGGCGGGTAGCTCATGACAGGGTGCGGTTCTGATCTGATAATTAACGATAACGATAACGAGTTGCTTTCGCTTCTGCTCAGAGGCGTCTCCTCTGCCGTCTTGATTTTGCTTTTTCACTACTCTCTTTCTCTCGGCATACGTACACTATGCCGGGGGTATCCCGAAAGTTTTTGCAATTTTCGCAATAGTTAACGAAATATTAATTACTAAAAATTGCCAAATATTGGTCTTGAATAATTTTTTACTCAAATACTATGAACTTTATAGAAAAGCTGCAGGAGACAAAAATCATTAATTTTCTTCTCATAAAGTTCTGAGAATTTTTTTAGAATTTTCCAATATCGTATTTTCTCATGTCGGTAAAAATAAGAAAATGCAGTACTAGAAAGTTGATGAAAAATTCTTAGAGTTCTATGAGAAGAAAATAAATTAGATTTTTTGTCTCTTGCATTTTTCTATAAAGTTGATAGTATTCGAGTAAAAAAAATTATTCAAGACCAATATTTGACAATTTTTAGTAATTAATATCTTGTTAACTGTTACGAAATTGCAAAATGGTAGGAGGACTTTTCGACTCGGTTTAGTTCGCTCCATCTAGACAAAAGCGATTGGCAAAAACTTTCGGGACATCCTATGTATACATGTGTGTATCGTTCATGTTTTCTTGAATGATGGAATTATTAAATTCTTATGAGACTTAGTACTTATTTTTCGACGCCATCTTGAATGAGTTTCGAAAACGTGTACCGGCTAATAATTATTCGATATACTTCGCATCGATATACTTACGCTTACGTAATATATTTCTTAATATATTTCTTTCTTTAATTATTCATTTCCAATTGTCCTTGAAAAAGTGTTGAGCACACAACTTTCGCGCGGGACAATTTCATGAAATTGAATGTGTGTGTGTGTGTGTGTGTGTGTGTGTGTGTGTGTGTGTGTGTGTGTGTG